GTGTGTGTGTGTGTGTGTGTGTGTTTAAATAATAAACTTTTGTTTTTTTACATATTTCTCAATATATAAAATTAACAAATATCAAGACAACATCCAACTCTATGTATTGTAACATTAGTTGTGTAACTTAATTTTTTAAAGTGCAAACTCTTGAAAACAACTAGCGTTGTGTTTTGTCTTATTGCACAAATTAAAACCCAGCTCCATATATTTCTATTGATTTCATTTCCCCACTAGAAAAATTGTGTGATGGAGATCCGTGGAAGGCAGATAAGTTTGTCAAATAAGCAAAAGAGGATTGAGTTAAAATAAATAAAAGATATTCAAGCTACGTTTTGAGCATCTAAAACGCATCCAACACTTCAAGCTGGCTGCCTGTGCTCTTTCAGGTCAGACGCGTTCGGCCTCTGTTGTTTTCCTCTGCTGGTCTCTGTTTAATGGCGGATGAAATAAAGCTAGTGGCGGTATTTTATTTACTTTGAGCAAGCGAACGTGGTGTTCACAAGATAATTAATCCACCAGATAATTCAGATGCAGTCTGTTTGACGAGTTTAGGAGATTAAACAAGGAGCTTGTTTAATCTAACAATATTACTGTGAAGCGGAGGTGCGGCTGCTTTTGAGTGTTGACATGCTTTCAGCCTAATATTGTACAGACAGAGAGAGGTGTGAAGTTTTGGAGCATTTGCATGATCCACAGGTGCCCCTTTCATAAGTCAAATCCGCACAATCGCCACACAGACCAGTCTGGCTTTAAAGCCTCCCCAGGTCATTCATAAGACCACAGGTGAAGGCGGGCGGGTCCCTCTCCCATGTATGTGTTCATAAATGAACCAGCAGCGCGGATCCAAAAGAGGCGTGGAGCAGAACTCAACTGAGCTGAACTGGAACGCGACGTATTTATTGTGGGACAGACGCCTGCTGCCTCGTATCAAACAAAACAACTGAATTAACTCACCTTAGTTATTCTGTGGCAGTTAAATATTTTCAAACTAATACAAAGTTGCTGTTTCACGTCTTCCCTCCGTAAAATCTGTAGAATAATCCTCCACCGCTCACAGGCTGCTGCGTCGTATCCGAAAGAAAAAATAAAAAAATGAACAAAATCAGCTCATTATAGCAAACCTGTAGCTCAATATTTTATAAACTAACCTGCTACAAATTTGCTATTCTTTGTCGTCTTTAATATTCCCTCAGTAATAAATCTCCAGCTGCACTGACATATCAAGCGCGCACACGCACACACATCAGACAGCCCCTCCGTTGCTCACCGCTCTGCGTTATCAGAGAGAGAGAGAGAGAAAAGAATGAAACTAACTTTTACAACTTAAACAAGTTGCTATTTTGTGTCATTTTTAATCACTTGTTAATAAAGCTGTTTGCTGATTAATCCTGTGGTCGCTAACGGATGTCATCATATTCTGAGCGCGGATCTGCGGGTTGCTTTCACAAGTGGGTCGTCTGCCCGGCTCGGGTCCGGCTCTGATACTACCTCTGCTCGCGGATCAGGGGCACATGAGAGGCGAGTAAAATTTACTCGCCTGTCCACCTTCGTGTTTTTTCTGAATGCTCGTTGGAGGACTGAATCAGGCCCGGACTGAGCCGTCTTATGAAAGGGGCTAAGATGACCTGAAATGACCCACTGCTCTTGTATGGCTTTACAAAAAGTCTTCTGAGCCGAGATGGTGAGAATGTGCATCAGTGACATTATGAGATGTCTTTAGCCTGGCCCTTGCCTTCCTACGCATTTCCGCTCAGTTCTAGTTTTCTTTCACTGCTCTGTCTGGGATTTCTCCCATAGACAAGGATTTCTTCGGGAGCATTTCATTTGGGCCAATCAGAGAACAGAACGTCAATTTTCTGTGCATGGTCTGCTAGTTTAGCAATTGCACTGGAGGAAGGGAATGAAGCCAGTCCGTGTTGATAAGGCTTCCAAATTGAATGAAATTTGTCTGACAAAGCAGCAGCTCTCATTTAGAGTTGTCTCGTTTGGCTCGGTACTTCTCTCCTCTCAATAGGATTGTTTACAGCACACGAGATTTCCGGTTAGCTTCTTAGCTTAGCCTCCTTCACAGTGTAGCTGTCACGCATACGTCGCGGCTAACAGATCCAATCATTTTAAAATTCAACAGAGGCCACGCCTCCAGCAAGAATTGCTTCTCTATATCGGAGAGTCCAGACCCTTGTACAAAGCAAAGTGAAGGACGAGGGGCTGGTTTTAACCAGGCTAGGTTGTCTTCTGAAAAAGCCTCAAATGTTTGTCTAGGGCTGCAACAACGAATCAATAAAATGGATAAAAATCGATTTTTAAAAGTGTTGGCAATGAATTTCATTATTGATACGTTGTGTTGTGCGATTTATACGTCCCTCACCATGTCGCAGAGCCGTTTACGTCACCTGCAGACGTTGTCAATGCTGGCTGACCTAAATAAAGTTTGGGAAGAAAAAAAACTCTACCTGTAATGATCCGCCCTCTCTTGAGACTCTCGAGTGAAAATGAAAAGTAGAGACTTTGAACTTAAAAACTGTTTTTTTAGGCCAAGTAGATGTTATGATAAAAAGTATATGCCACATTTAATTTTTTTAAGTGACGGTTTGATTTGATGCGAGCCGCATCGCAAGAAGGAAGCACGTCCCGGGGGTCGGGGACTCCTTCTCTCGGGCCAGAAATATAAAAACCCTCCAGTCTTTTTTTCTGACCGAGGCTCAGTTATTTGATAAGCAGCAAAACGGTTCAGGACGAAGGGAAAATAAAAGAAGACGCAGGCAGAACTCCTGGGACCTCATGTTATCAATGATGCATACTAGGGTTGGGCAATATTAGCAAAAAAATAAATCACGATTAATTGTGGTATTTAGCCGATAACGATTAATTTGACTATTAATGCCCTGAGTCCCTGGACACCCTTATTTTGTAGTAACATTACCAATTTAGTGGGAAAGATTTGCTTTTTGTAAAAAATTGTTCCAAATTGTGTGAAAATTACCGATTTCAGGCTATGCATCATATTTTAAATTGTGTAGATAAATAAATTACAGAACTTTATTTTAATGTTCGTCATATTTGAAGCGGAGAGGAGCACTGAGCAGACTGACTGGAGTAATCCCCAGTCAGTCTGCCTGGTGGCATTAATTGTATTAATTGTCAAGTGCCAAAAAGTAATCGATTGTTTTTCTGACGATTAATTGCACACGATACGATTATGCCCAACCCTAGTGCGTACACACAAAAACCTTGCGTATGCCGTTTTCCACGCAAAACTCTGGATGTATCAAAACTCAACTGAACGTGGAAATGTGCACAGCCCAACGCCAACTCCAAGGCTGGTGTACGCACGTTTCTGTGGGTTTAGTTCCATTGGCGACACTTAGAGGTGATTCTGAGAAACTGTTCATGATGTGAAAATGATTATTGTTCACACCAGACACACACGATTAACAATTATTACATCCACATAGATGCAGTTAAATAGAGGATGCGCAAAGTTGTGCCAAAAATATATTTAACAGGAGCGAATTCAGCCTTACTGGAGGATATAATAAATAGTGTAACACACAGAGCTTTTATTTATAAACAGATAGAATTTTCTGATGAGTGGCTCATCAGCCGTTTTGAGGAAAAATCATTTTTTAGTTTGGCACTGCGGCGCTCTGGGAGCGCGACGCACCGGTGCGCATGCACGTGCAGCAGCAACGATTGAACTGGGAGCTTTCCAGAGTGAGCTGGCAGACCGATCGGGACTGTGCCGGTCCAGTTCACTGAAAGCAGAGTCATGACCAATGGAATCATCTCATCCATATGATTCTAAAGGCTGAGTTATGGTCGCGCTCTGGAGCCCGCACCCTCGCCGGCACTGGAGGTGTTTCATACTTGGCGTTTATGTTGTTGATTTCTCCAAAATGACACGTGGAAGGAAGTACACTGTACAACTTGTGAAAATGCTGTAAGTAGGAGAGCAAAAGCTTGACAGACAAACAGACTGCGCACAAAGGCTGCGGAGCGTGCAGCATTTGTGGAGACTCTCCAACATCACGTCACTTCATGTGAACTCTCCACTGAGACGCAGAGACTCGTTTCTTCATATCAGCTATGAAATAAAATAAGATCTATGTTCTACCAAACATTTAATTTCCTCTGTGTTTACAGTAATTATGGTAATAAACTTGTGCGCAAAGTTAATATTTTCAGACACACAATCACTCGTTCTTTGCTTGATTAACATGTTTTATTCCTATTTTTACTTAGGATTTTTTTCTCACTCACATTATATTCATTATTTTTATGACATTAGAAATCATTTCTGATCGTGCAGGGATCACTCAAACATGTCCTTCACACATGCAGGAAGTAATTTGTATCTGTTTAACATATATTAATGAAGGCGTGTCAGGAGATGTGTCTTACCTGCGCTCAGTTCCACGTTAGTTGTGATGTACAAAAGAAATGTGCGTGGATTCAGGCGTACGCACGGTTTGATACATCTGGATTTTTTTGTGCGTACGCAGTTTTCTGGATTTGAACGTACGTCATGTATCGGTAAGAAATCCACGCAAGTCTTTGTACATGAGGCCCCTGGTCTGACTCAGCAGGGGAGGCGGAGGGATGGGGTGCTGCTTCAGAACCTCTTAATGAGTCGTTTTAGCCACAGGCAGAAACCAACAAGAAGGAAGCAAAATGTAAAGAATTAGAGAAAAATCATAAAATCTAAATGCAAATAAATTCTAATTATAATAACAAATTAATAATAATTTCACATCTAAAATCTAAAAATTTTATTATTTTCTTCTGTTTTCCTCTTTCTGCAACCTATTAAATTTCTGTTTTGTTATGTTTTATAGCTATAACCAAGTTTAATAATGTATAAGAAATCCACATTTTGGGGGTCCAGTCAGTGTTTAAAATGGCTGGCAAAATCAATTGTGAAAATATTTATGATGTGCTTTTTTTTAAATTTAGCATATTTTTAAAAATCCTTCATTTTGACCCTCTTGATTCAAAAGAAAGCTCTGGTTTTTAAGAAAATGGCTGCTTATCAATTATAAGATAAATCAACTTCAGACAACTTCACATTAATCAATAACTTGCATCCCTAATTTATACAGGAATTCAATTAATTTATATCTACTTATATTTATATAACTAGTGTTTAAATGATTTGGACGAATAACCGACAGATTAATCAATTATTAAAATAATCGTTAGTTGCAGCCCTATTTATGTCCCAGTTTTCATAGCAGCCTTGTGGCAATTTGTCACATCACCTCATGCGATTAACTATATACTGTCATAATTTCTAAATTCCGTCAACATCTTTCAACAATGAGGTATACCAAAATATCGTCATACCGCCCAAGCCTAGTACAGCCCGGTTAAATGTGTAGAAACACATCAGATACACGGTGGAGCCTGAGTATGGTAAAATTAATACAACTCTTTTAGAACACAGAACTAATATGATGATCAGGAGAAAAGAAGCAGTGGTTTTTGGACTCACATCCTGGTTCTATTCACAGCGGAGCAGACAGGAAGAAGGAGATCAGCAGTCAGCGGTCTCAAATGGAGGAGATCCATGAGGGCGAGGAAGCTCCTCCCCCAAAGGACCAGTCTCCCCCTCCTTTCTCTCCCCTCCCATCCCTCTCCCAACAGAAACCAGCCCCGCCCTCTGACAGCAACAAAAGCCCCGCCCCTCCTAAAAGGTTCCAGTTTATGATTTGTTAGCTGCTTCTGACTTCCCTTCCTGCTGATGCTGGTCTGATCTCTTTTTATTAACCCTGGCCTCTGAGGACCCTCAGGCCCTGTTCCTCCTACATCTGAGTGTGCTGATCGTCTCAGGGTCAGGTGTTTCTTTTTAGCCAATCAGATGTTAGAAAAATAGGAGGGGGCTGTTTGGCTGAGCTGTTTTCAAATGTACACTACAAAAATTCTGACTCCTCCCACAAAGTACCAGCCTTCGACCACCTGATTAACTACAGGTAGTCCTAAGGAGTATTCATAATAAGTGAGCTTTATCACTAGTTTTTAGCTGGTTTTTAATGATTAACCAACTAACTGACAACTAACCATTTCTAACTACTAGGAGTGAATGATAAACTCCGCATGAGACAAGAAATTTCAAAAATAAAATATATGCTGGAAAAATATTTTTATGCGGAACTCCTGGTTTTGCTACAAACCTGTCTGACTGGCCAATTTCCAGTTTGATTTCTCAAAGTTCTCTTCAGACGTTAAAATGTTTTTAACAACAATCATTTCTCAATAAAACTTTGTAACCTTTGAAAACTCATTTTCAGAAGGAGCCAACAATTAAAAACAGATCTGTCAAATCTAATTTCTTGGCTTCAGTCTGTGAAAATGGCTTTTGGTTTTTCAGTCTCCTCAAACCCCCTCAAGCCCTCGGATTTCCTCAGGATTCTTCAGATGTTGCTCCCTCTAACTGCTCTTTGCTCTGCAGAAATAACACTTGAAGCTGTTTAAGATTTATCAAAGTTACTAACGTGTTCTCCATGAACTCATTAACCTACTTCATCTATCTCCTCCTTCTTCTCCCTGTAACAACTCCTCCTGCCACTGCCCTCCTGCCTGTAGCAGCTTCTCCCTCTGCCATGTTGACTGTGTTTGTGTAATCAGGGGTCCAAGCGTGAAGCGGTCCTCGGGTATCGAGAGGTCTCAGAGCACAACCTGGGAATCCTCAGAGGAAAACAGAAAAAAACTGGTGAAAGCTGCATCCACTTCCAAGCTGCTGACAAAGATGGTGAAAAAAGCAGAAAGGTACAGCAGCCAGACATAAAAGCACACCTTCCTGTAAACAAACCCTGTAGAAACACCTAGAGAAACATATTCATTTTTTAATTGATATTACTGTAGAAATTTGATTTAACTTTAAAGTTTTTTTACATTATTTTGTCAAAAATGCACATTTATAATGACCATGTCTGCTTTTTGACAGCAATAAAAGCATAAAAAAGCGGGATAATGTTATTTATAGGCGGTGTATATACACTACATGCATACAAATATATAATCTCCAATTTTATTAAAATCAAAATTATGTAAAACATCTACAACCAGTCTCTGCTTCCAAATCATTATTTAATCTCTTAAAATGTTTAGAGACCATATCTTTAATAACCCAGATTATCAACCAAACCTTTGTTTCTTTCAGACACAAGGACCCAGGCATCACCCAAGGTAATGACAATGTCATCACAAAACTACTACATTCACGATCATCGTGACCAGAGGTGGGCACAGCTAACAAAAGAGTTAGGTTCACTAACAAATTGGCTTAACATGAATTTTTGCACCACTAAAAAACACTGTGGAAGTTAATGCTAACCACTAAGAAGACTGCCACTCACGTCTTCATCTCCTTCCAGTTGCAGATTAGTGGGATTGACACAAACCTGTTGAAGTTTTCTATTATTTTAATTTGAAGGTGGGCAGGATTATCTGTGGCAAATTGATCAATCCAAACCAGAGTTATCCATGGTTTTCTCTAAACGCGTAGGCTGCCAACACTACTGCTACTTCCGCCCTCTGATTTCATATTTCCAGGATGCAGACCAAGAACCCGAGATTTAATAACAAAGTCATTCATTGCTTATGATAACAAGACCAGTTTGTTTTTGCTTTAACTGGCAGCTTGAGCAGTTCCATCATAAGCTCGGATTCAACTTTTGGTTTTGGTCTGCCACAACAATTGAAGAAAATTGAGAAACACTTTAGAAACATTTTGCCTGGACCAACAAGAGGTAATAAAGGCATGTCCATAGTGCCCAGCGCCCTATGCAATGAACTTGATGCCCACGAAAGAGGATTGTAAACAAACGCAGCTGGCAGCTTTAAAGCTCAAAACCCACCAAAGAGGTTTTTCTTCTCTTTACATTTTATCCATAAAAAGCCTATGGATATACACTCCGATCCAGAGCTCTATCTGGGATAAGACTGGCCACCAGAGGCAGCTCGTCTGCATCACTGTGAATCAGACAGCTTCCAGCAATATCAACTAAAACCCTGAATCTGTACCTGGTGACTGAAATTGTAAATATGATTTTTCCTCGTTTCACTATTTAATCTTGCAGTTCTTTGTTTTTACTAAATTAAATCCTACTAGGGATGCAAAATAATTTTTTTAAGAACCGATAATTTTCTCCTTCTAACTGCCGATAACTGATAATAAATGTTAACATGCAAGGAGGTAAAAAGACTAGTGAGAAAAGTGTAAGATCAAAATATAAATAAACAAGACTTAAACTAAATGACTGTAAATTGTAATATTTGAAATAAACTCTTTGCAAGCAAACATTTCCTAAAATATATCAAACAAAACAATTTCTCAAATGAACATTATTTAAATAAGGCACTTTATAAAAAAGATCTTTAAAACTGATGTCTGATTTAAAACAAATATGTACAAAGAGTAAAAGTGCATTCCACAAGTTCAAAACAGATAATGCACTAACACAAGTTAGATTCAAAGTACACTTGTTTTTATTAATATATAACGTAAAATATTTTTTCAACCTGAAACAGTGCTTCTGAGCAGGGTTATTATAGTTAACTAAAACTGACTAAATAACGAAAACAGAAATTACATTAAATTACAAACATTATATTTTCTCAGTTTGGAAGTAGTTTTTTCGACCTTTTTATGTTTATAATTAAAATGTTTGTGTGTAACATACTTGCTTAGTTGGTAAAATAATATTAATAATTATTAAAATGACTGATTGTTTTTAGGACTGGGAATTGATTCAGATTTCCCAAATCGATTAGATTCACAGGGGCCTGATTTGATTCGATTCACGATTCAGTTTGATTTTTAAATTAGTTAAGGATCTCATGCAGTAACACATTTATTTTGATATGTAAGACATTCTCAAAGGAACTAATTCTGCAAATAGAAACTATTTCTAACTTGGTGCATAATTATAAACATGCAAACTTGTAAATTGGGGTTTAATCTTGAAACAAAACTGTCTCAAGTTTCAAAGGGTTTAAACTACAAAGGAATTTCAAGAGAAAGTGTGGGATATATTAGTTTTTTAAGAAACTAAGAATGATTTTCTTGATCATGAAGAAGTGATGGGGAAAAGGTTGCAGGAGAAGAGGTGGGATAATGTAAGTGTTTACTTTTGCCCACTCTTTTGAGCGTATGAAAATTGTATATTTGTAATGTTTCTATTACCTTCTGTTCAATAAAACGTATTAACAAAAAGAAAGAAAAAAAGAGTACTTCAACTGCAACATTCCATCACTGTGAATTACATTAAGGTGTTTATTAAATTTAAAAATAACATTGGTAACAAAACTTAATGATTTTGTTAGACTGTCATCTTTCACACATTTGTACATGCCTACAACCGTTTCAGTCAGATGTTTACATACCGTAGTTTTGATTGAAGCACCTGAACCCCCTCACCACCTGCTCAGTTGTAGCCCGCTTCATTTTCCGCTACTGCATCTGAGCGCTTATCTTTGCAAACAAAAGTCATGGTCACTGTTATCTTTAAGTTCAGCTGAGAATCAGCTGTAATGTTAGTGATTCCTTTGTTTTTGTTTTGATCCAGACAACTTGTTGTCGAGAGCTAACATTAGCACTAACCGTCAACCATTTGTAAAGCTGCGGCAAGCCAGGAGTGACACACAACATGGAAACACACAGCTTCATCACACACAACACCCATGGGAAAAAATCAGTCTCATGACTTCTGAATTGATTTTCCCAAATTTGAACGTGAATCGATCCAGATCAATTAAATAGTTTTTTTTAACCTAGCCCTAATTGTTTTCCAGTACAGAGTATTATAATTATAGGAAAAAAATTGTATAGGTCCTCTGGACGGGTTCTTCTTTAATGAAACGTTTCGTCTCTCTTCCAAGAGACTTCTTCAGTCTGAGAGTTTCATAAAGCCTGAATTTTGCCTGAAACTCTCAGACTGAAGAAGTCT